GCTTCGTTCTTCTATGAAACTCTGGATTTTTTACGAGTTTAATCGCACTTTGATTGTCTCCATACATTGTTGGCACCATTTTTGGCTGGTCCAGCAATTCACCTAAAAACAATTTTAACCAAGTTAATTCTTGTACTGCTTGACTTAAAGCTATGTACTCTGATTCAGTTGTGCTAAGGCTAACACACTGTTGACGACGTGAACTCCATGCTATACTTCCAGATCCTAATGTAAATACTGACCCTGATGTTGACCTTCTTGTATCCAAGTCACCTGCATAGTCAGCATCACTGTATCCCTTTAACATGAGTTTTTGTCTAGAACTAAATATCAATCCAAAATTAATAGTTCCCTTTAAATATTTTAAAATTCGTTTCACTGCTGTCCAGTGTTGTTCCTTTGGATCCTCGATGTATCTACTAACTAGATTTACTGAAAAAGTTATGTCCGGTCTTGTAATCTGACTGAGATATAATAAGCTTCCGACTGCTTCACGATATGGGACTTTACTAGTTAGATTGGTGTTTTGTTGCTTGTCATCTAATGAATGTTGAGGGTCTGCTGGTATTTGAACTGAATTTGCTTCAGTCATATTGAACTTCTCCAATATTCTTTTACAATACAACCCTTGGTGCATTACAATTGATCCATCAGATTTTTGCACAATTTCTGTACCTAAAAATTGATTCAATTCTCCTTCGGTAATATTGAAATGTTGTCTCAAATATTCCATTAATGCATTTACATCTTCACTCGATGTAGCTGCAACTAGACCATCATCAACAAATATAGCGACGATTAATACTTTGTTATTCTCTCTATTAACAAAAACACAGGGATCTGCTTTTGTTTCTAATAGATTAAAGTTAAGAAGAAATGTTTTGAACTTTATGTTCCAACATCGTGGTGACTGCTTTAGACCATATAAACTGCGTTGAAGTCTGCACACCATTTCAGTACCATCGTTGAACCCTTCTGGTTGTCTCATGTAAATTTCTTCGTCCAAATCTCCATATAAAAACGCTGTTTGAACATCAAATTGTTGAAGTTGTAATTGTTCTGCTGCTGATATAGCTAATATAGACCGAATTGAATCGAACTTTACTACAGGACTAAAAGTTTCATTAAAATCAATACCGAATATTTGACTATACCCTTTTGCTACTAGCCTAGCCTTGTATCGTTCAACATGTCCATGAACATTGTATTTTGTTTTATACACCCTACCACAATTTACAATAGTTCTGTCCTTAGGTAACTTTACGAGAGACCATGTTCCGTTTTGTTCAAGAGATTCCATTTCATTGTTCATGGCTTCCACCCATTTTTCTGAATTTTGTGACTCCACAGCTTCCTTGAAATTCACTGGATCGGATTCGACTACGAAAAATGCTGAATTATCATAACGTAATGGTTTCTTAATATTACTTCTGTCTCGCAAGTTGTACACGTTGACATTTGACCCATTTCCTTGTTCAAGTTCTTGATTTTCTTTGTCATCTACACTTATTGGTCCATATTCATTTTCTATGACTTCATCTCCTTCTGGTTTATTGCTGTGTTCTAATGAGCCGTCTTTGTGTAAGCTAAGAACATCAATGTTATTATTATCATTTAAGTTATTAGAACATTCTACAAGTTGGTAATTTACAACATTTTCATCCTTGAAAATGACGTCTCTACTAAGTGACACCTCGTTATTTTCTTTATACCAAATACGATACCCTTTTGAAGTTTCTGAATATCCAACAAAGTATCCTTTTCGACTTTTTGCATCCCACTTCTTTCGTCGTTGTTTTGGAACTAAACTATATGCATTTATTCCAAATTCTACGAAATTTTCTATTTTAGGAAGTTTATCAAACCATAACTCGTATGGAGTTTTACATACTTTCCCTGAATTACCAGTATAATTTAATGAGAACACTACTGTATTGACTGCTTCTGCCCACAGTGATTTTGGAAAATTCTTGGCATATATCATTGTTCTGGCTGCCTCACAAATAGTCCTCATTGAACGTTCAGCTTTTCCATTTTGTTCAGGAGTATAAGGTACACTTGTTTCATGCTTTATACCTAGATGATTTAGAATTGATTGAACTTCGAAATTCTTATACTCTAATCCACAGTCACTTCTAATAGTTTTAATAACGTATTTTGTTTGAGTTTTAACCATACTCAGAAAACAATTAAGTTTTTCTTTAACCTCAGATTTATGTTTCATAAAATAGACATAAGTATATTTAGAATAATCATCTTTAAATATAATGAAATATCTTTTACCTCCTAGTGAATTCTCTTCCATGGGTCCACATACGTCGCTGTGTATTATTTGCCCTGGTTCAGTAGTTATTGTTTCGCTTTGAGTGAACGTCTCCTTATGCTGTTTGCCATAGATGCATGGTTCACAGAATAACTGTCCTTGTATATCTGTAAATTGTATTTCATTGTGTTTTAAATACTCACGAACATGTTTGACATTCTGATGACATAGTATTTTGTGCCAGTGTTCTAATGTTAATTTCTTAACTGCAACGTTAGCACAGTGTCCAATTTCCTGTGAAATATCTGTTTTGATTAGCATTGTAAACAATTTATTCTCACGAACACCGACTGCAATTACACGATTATTAATTTTAAATGAGCAACCTTTACTGTCTGTCACCATTGTAATTCCTTTATCAAGGCATGCCCCACAAGAAAATAAATTTACCTTTAGATCAGGTACATATAAAACATTTTCTAAGTAGCCTTTTATCCACTTATTGTCAACATAAGTATGAATATTTATGTTACCTTTTCCGACTGCCATAATGTGCTTGCCATCTCCAATACGTACAAGCGAATGCACATCAAAATGTTTATAATCGACGAACCACTCTTTTCGATTTGTCATGTGGTCGCTCGCACCTGAGTCTACATACCATTTGTCCGAGTCGTTGATTTCTTCATTTTTTCTTTGTACACCAATAAGCGCCAAACCGGAAGTTGATTTCTTTTCTTCTTGTTCCCTTTTGAATATCCTGCAGTCCCTTTTCCAATGTCCTGGTTTTTTACAGTGATTGCATTTTCCTGGTTTTGTATTATCATTTTTGTTCACGTATTTTTGACTTTTATTATACTTGCCTTTGGTTGCAGTCAAAGCACTACTTTCAGCAACATCATCACGGACCTCCTGTCCTTGCACTTGTCGTGTTTCTTCCACCATCATTCGAGTGGTTAACTGTTCTAGCGTTCTATTTGCACTATTCATTGAGTCCCATGCACTGTAGAAGTGCCTATAGCTATCAGGTAATGTCATCAAAATTTTTGTAATCAACATTGATTCTGAGATAGGTTCTCCCAATTGTTTTAGTTGTCTACTTAGATTTTCTAATTTTGAAATATGACCTGCTATATTGTCTTTTGGATCCATTGTATAACGATAGAACTTTTGTTGTACTATTGTTATGCTTGTGTCCGACATCTGTTCGTACACACTAAGTAATTTGTTCCACATACCATTTGCTGTGTCACAGTTCATAATGTATTGTAGAGGTTGTTCATCTAACGACGTGACGATATATTTTTGAGCCTTATTATCTGCCCTTTTCCATATTGAAAAAACAACGCTATGCCTTTTTCTCGCTTCATCTTCAGTTTCATTACCGATCTTTGCTAAAATTGGTTTCTTTGATTTTCCTGTTACTACATCAAATATTTCAGCTGCATTCATGATAACCTTCATTTGAAATTTCCACATGTCCCAATTTGATGCATCTTTGAGTTTGTTGATTTTATATTGTTCGTTCTCCATATTTAAAAAACGTAAATGTACACTATCTGCACACTAAGAAACACACTCACACTACACTGCACTTACTTCGCGAATTATTATTGATGTACACTGTCTGTACACAAAAAACACGCAATTCGTTAATCAATTATTATTTTAATAACTATTCACAACTTTATTATAAAGACCTTACTACTGGGCCCATAACCTGTTGAAGTACACAGATATACAGAAGTTAAAGGTAAATAATAATAAAATCGGATATATATATAATATAATAATAAGTATAATGATACGATGTACAATAGTGTTACGAGGCGTAATATAAATCAACGACTAACTATGTAATATGTATACCCGGCTACACTACACAAGACATTTATGCTGTAGTATTATAAAAATGTACAGTCAGCGTCTGCTGAACTACAGTGTGAATATATTACTTATACACTACATTATATAGGGTGTTTTGTTTATAATTCCAACAGAATCATATTGGAAAAAAGACAGTCTATGTTATCATGAGTTGTTTCACAAAATTGGCATGAGCTATAATAGATTTATAATTATTTTAAAATGTTGGCACTTTGTAGACAATAATATTGCTAGAGATAATACAGATAGGTTATATAAAATTAAACCGTTAATGGATATGATTTTTCAAAAAACACAAAATTTGTACACTCCAGGAGGCACATTAGTTGTTGACGAATCTATGATAGCTTTTAGAGGAAGACTTTTATTTCGTCAATATAACCCGTCAAAATCCCATAAATATGGTATCAAAATGTACAAATTGTGTACACCTGAAGGTTTTACATGGGCTTCTAGTATTTATTGTGGTACAGGACCTACTTTAGGAACTCTGGATAAGCCGGGAACAGTTGTGGTAAATTTAGCTGATAGTTTACTTGATGAAGGCCGTTTGATAATAACAGACAATTTTTATACGAGTGTTCCACTTGCTGAATATCTTTATGGCCGAAAAACTGATTTGTGTGGTACTTTAAGAAAAAATCGAAAATGGCTTCCAGTAGATGTAAAAGAAAAAAAATTGAAAAAGGACAGTTTATAGCAAGACAAAAAGAATTTATTACAATTTTAAAATGGCATGACAAAAGAGATGTTTTGATGTTATCTACTTGTCATGGAGATCAATTTCAAAATACAGGAAAAACAGATAGAAAAGGAAATACAATAACAAAACCAAAAATGATTTTGGATTACAATAATACAAAACAAGGAATCGATGTTTCAGATCAACTAAGCAGTTATTATAATCCACAACGAAAATCTCTTGTTTGGTACAAAAAAGTTGCTATGGAATTACTATTTGGGATAACAGTAGTAAATAGTATGATTATTTTCAACAAACAAGTAAACAAGAAACTAACTTTACTTTCATTTACCGAATCACTGTCTAGAAGTATTTTGTGTACAGAGGTTACAGACAAATCAGAATCTGTGAACATTCAAAAAAATATTTCAACGCATTTTCTTGAACAGTTTGATAGACAAAATGGAAAAATACAAAGAAAAAGATGTCATGCACCGAAAAAAAAATCACAATCATATTGATAAAAAACTATGTTAGATTGACAATAATCTTGTTAATATAGAGCCAACAAGATTTTTGTATCAATTTAACAATACTATTGTTGCACCTTCTGATAATGTCAAATCAATCAATAAGCATTGTTGATTTGACAATTGTCTTGTCAATATAGAACCAACAAGATTTTTTTATCAATTTAACAATACTATTGTTGCACCTTCTGATAATGTCAAATCAATCAATAAGCATTGTTGATTTGACAATTGTCTTGTCAATATAGAACCAACAAGATTTTTTTATCAATATGACAATACCTGTTTCAACTACTGAAATTGTTGAATCAATCAATAAAAATGATTGCTTTGACAATTAGTATAATTAATTGTATAAATCATGATTGTTACCATAATTCAAAACATTGTTGGATTATTATTATTGAATCAACAATAATATTATATATTGCTGTTTTTAGAATTCTAAAAATAGTTGTTCAAATAGTTGTTTTACTTATTAGTTATTGTTAATAATTAGGAATTAGGATTAAATTGTGTTACATTTTAATTGTATTTCACACCATTATTTTAATTTAAAATATATACCTACTAACACTATTTAGTGCATTGTATATAAACAATAAATATTGGCCTAAGTGCATTGAGTACAACACTATTAAGCATGTTACAAGGAATTATAATTATTTAAAGTTTAATGCTTTTCCCCACCTTAATATAATTAATAATATTACATATTATTATGTACATTGAACACTGTATGGTATATATTATATTGTATAAAAATAAAACCATTTAAAGAATAATACATTACTCTAAAGTGACTTGAATAATAATTGCTTGTACATGCTTTAGCTTTAAATTAACAGGAATAAGGTAAAATCAAAAACAAGATTAAATTTGCTGAATTAAAAAATTGTGTATTTGAAATTATTTGTACAGTTAAAAAAGTTAAAAATTCATATTATTAATTGTTTAAATCTGACATTATTTGTCCAAGAGTGTGGCATGGAACATCAAACTTAGTATTGATGGAAAAAAAAAATTTTTGAATAAACAACCAAACTAAAACTGACTGTGGTGGATATTCTAAATTAAATAGATGAAACAATTTAAATGTTACATCTATGGCATGTAAAATGGAAAAAACTTTATATTTTATAGAGTCAAAATATACAATAATTTCTTGTGGGTTCATAGGAGTACCAACTACCATAATAAAAGGCTGTATTGGAGATTTTTCGCTACGACGGATATTAATGTATTCTTCTATTTCACAAACTGAGTTTTTAAATACAATGAAGCTATTCTGTGAATCTTTGATTGAATATTTTGTCTGATTTTTTTTGCCTGTGTGATCCCTTGTGACTTTTATCGATGTTGGTATAAAGATTGCATGTAATAAATAAAATATAATCGTGTTCTTCCCATCTGAAATATTTAAATTTATTTTTAACATAAAAATAATATAATTATATTTTAAATTGTACAGTACAAAATTTATAGTGATAGTATAATTACCATCTATCTAGTCACTACAAAATAAGATTAAAGTAGTTTTACTACAATTTACTAAAATGTATTAAGTATTTAATGGTTACACAACCACAACAATATATGATATACATACTTTATTTATATCAATTGCAAAATGTATGTAGCTGGGTAAATTAATAATAGATAAAATAAATTGTAATTACAATTTTTTAATCTTATTAATTTATAGAGACTAGATTGTACCTATATATAGGGTATAACAATGTTATTGTCTGTTATTAATTTTATCAATTATATTTATATGCTATTTAGTATTCATTAAATTAATACTTAAGTCCTAAATCATTATTCTATAGCCACTATTAGCACTACATTTTCTATAAAAATAAAATTGTTTATACTTTGGCTTATATCTGCAGTTGGCTCGTTCAAACTTTCAAATAACCGTCGGCTTAAAGTGTCCTTTATTTTTTCATCCAATAAGTTTATGATTTTTTCTGATTTTTCTTCAAACGTAGAAATTAGATTAGAGCAACTGGGATACATTGTGTTAAAATCTATGTCAACCTGAAAATATTATTTTAATTGTTAAGTTATAAATAATGTAGACCTATAGCAAATTACTATATTTAATATTTTTAAATTAAAATAAAGTAAAAATTACTAGTCTGTATCCTAAAGGTAATTTATAGTTGCTCCAGTTGTTAAGTATATCATGAGTAGAGGTTGAAGTTTGAATACTTTTTAAACGGAACTGTGTTGTTGCTTTCCAGTTATATTCTAAGTCAGGGAAAGAACAATTATTATCGTGTTTAATTTGTTCAAGAATATACTGTACATCATTTTCTGGTTCTGCAACATACCAATTCAATAAAGATAAGTATCATAATTTTAACAATTTTAAATAATTTTAACAATTATTTTTTAAATATTAAATCTGAATAACATACCAAAATGTAAATCGTGTTTGCGATTAATTGGATTGGTTGGTCGTTTTGTATGATTGCTAGAGGGTATTAGACCACTGTTTTTCAAAGTTCGCATAGAGTTGTAATATTTAGCATACAGCTTACCCTTTGGATTTTTGTTTGTATCATATTTTAAAAAATATGAATCCTAAAAAGTTAGAAAAAATGATTAAAATAGAATAAATATAATAATAAATAAAAATACTAACTTTTACTTCTGTTGGAAATATATCAGCAATTTGATCAGCAATACTATTAGCGAGGGCAACAGACATGGATATTTTCTTAGTTATGACATAATTGATAATAGTATCGACCAACAATGTTCTTATATTGTCATTAAATTTGTGATTTGTCTTATAATAGTCATTGATCATTAATCCAGTTGAGCACTCATTTAAAATTTCTCCAAGATTTATAGATATGGCTGAAGAAAGTTTTTCTTGAGAAAGTTTTTTGTCCAAAGTAGTTGGAAGCAGTGATGTCATAGAAGATGATTTTTTTGAATTTTGCCACTTTTCTAAGTTATTAGAAAATAATATTTTAATGCCAAGTGGGTAATTTTTCAAAAGTTCATTAGTGTGATAGTCAACTTTCATAATTGCCAAAATTTTCAAGTCAATTAGTTCATCTGAAATAAGTTAAGTTAATGTAAGCAAACTTGTTTTATAATTGTGATTGGAATCGCAATATAAGTGAATTATTATATTACCAAGTAAAGTTTGATAAGTACATTCCAAATTCCACTCTTTTAGTAAATCGTGCAAAGGTTGTAAGTCTTCAACTGGATATACGTAACCTTGCAGAAATGGCATAACTATTGTTGAAGACTGTAAATTAAAAATGTTATTAAGGGATTAGTTAAAAGCTGGATAATAATTTATTTTAAAATGGCTATTTTTTAAGACAAGTCACAAGTGTTTATAAAATTATTTTGTAAGTGGATATATTATAATACTTGCAGCATTATCAGTATTAATAAAAGCATCAACACAATTCAAATCATCAGAACAATTCATATCGCCAGCAGAGTTCAAAGCATCAACACAATTTGATTCAACAGCATAATGTGAATTTATATATGTTTCTGTTGGTCCATCCATTATTATTTTACTTGAAATTATACTGTAATCTAATAAATGCTAAAATACTAATTAAAGATTTAAAAAAAATAATATATACAAATATGAAAATAACGTTATTATATACATAGAATTACGGTTGAAAAATATAAATTATTAAAAAAATTCTTTTAGACGGATCATTAATCTGCCTGATGAAGTTGGTGTAATGTTAATAGGGGGTCCACTGAATTCTTCTATTTTAAAAATCAAACAATTATTTACAATGGTTCTGTCTTTATCAACTTCGAATGATTCAAGATGTGAATTAAAGTTTTCTATTTTAATCTGTTTAACTAGTACATAGATTATTAAAATGGGATTATCAATAACCACTAATTCTAATATCTCAAATAAATTAATTTCTTCAATAAATGTTGTTAAATAATATCCTCTTTTGTAAACTGTCCCCATGAACTCTATTTGATTGTAACAAGAAAAAAAAGATGTGCCATTTGTGGTAAGAGAAATTTTGGTAAGTATAGTATTTGAATATAAGCTGCTTATACAATGTTTTTGTTTCAATACAGTGTGCAGAGTATTAATAGGTTGTAGTAAAATGTAAGCAAATTTATATTGAAATTTTTTTGCTAATGTCAAAGTAATATTTTTCCGTGATGATGTGGTACGTGCATAAGCTTTAAGTTCCTTGTGTTTCCCTTCAAAGCGAAAGCACCAATAATGTCTTGGAGGTCCTGCATGTCGAATAATATTGGGATAATGCGTTAAGAAATGATGCTTAGGTTTTAATGTATCATTAAATAGCCTTATATACATAGAGTTATGCTGATGTATTAGTTGTTTAAGATATTCAATTTTGCTTTCAGTAAACTTGTATGATAGAAGCATATCAATTATCTTAACAAGTGTTAAATAAAATTTCCAAACTTCATCATTTTCAGGAATAAATTCTCCAACCATGA